TTATGGACCTAATTATACTTAATTCACCGTCTTGTAGAGTTATATGGGTTTTAATTCATTACATTCCCATTTTCATATGCTCTCTCATGGCCAAATCCATGTCATGATCATCTCAGATACCTTACTCAAAGCCATTAATTTAATTTACAAAACACCATAAAGTGGGTCCTCCTTAGAAAAATGGTCTATAGTGAGAGGGAGAACGATTAGATCAAAGACAGCGAGGCTCGACATATTTCCATAATAATATGATAATATTCAATTTAGACGTAAACTTAAATGATTTTGATATTAGAATCATCCAAACGGCCTCTTAGGAGTAGAGAGCTTTTAGGTTTGAACCGATTTTTTAAATACATATCGCTAGCAGATGTTGTCCTCTTTGGGTTTTTCCTTTTGAATTTCCCCTCAAGGTTTTTAAAACATGTCTACTATAGAAAGGTTTCGTTCTCCAACCTAACCGATGTGGGATCTCACAATCCACCCCCCCTTTGGGGTCCAACGTCCTCGCTGACACTCATTCCCTTATCCAATCCATGATGTGGGACTCGATGTGGGATCTCACAATCTACATCCCTTTGGAGTTCAGAGTCCTCGTCGTCACTTGTTCCCTTATCCAATCCATGATGTGGGATTCCAAAATCCACTCCTCTTGGGGCCTAGTGTCCTTACTAGCACACTGCCTCGTGTCCACTCCTCTTTGGGGCTTAGCCTCTTCGTTGGTGCATCGCCTAGTGTTTGACTCTAATATCATTTGTAGCAGTCCAAACTCACCGCTAGCGGATATTGTCCTCTTTGAGCTTTCCCTTTCGGACTTTCCCTTAAGGTTTCTAAAACTCGTATGCTAAGAAGAGATTTACAGACCCTTATAAAAAATGTTTCGCTCTCTTACCCAACCGATATGGGATCTCACACGCCTTTTAATATCATTAAACCAATTAATTTCGAAATTATAGCAAAGAAAGTAGATTTCTTAACGAATTATTTTTAGTTCGATGACAAATAAGGTTATAATATGAATACATTGATAAAATTAAACAAAACAAGAAAAGTATATATGAGCTTCTATTTGTTGGATGATGAAAGTTCCACGTCGGCTAATTTAGGAAATAATCATGGGTTTATAAGTGAGAAATACTAACTCGATTGATATGAGGCCTTTTGGGAAGCCCAAAGCAAAGCAATGAAAGCTTATGCTTAAAGTGAACAATATCATACAAAAGGTCTCAAAGCAAAGCAATGAAAGCTTATGCTTAAAGTGAACAATATCATACTATTGTGGAGAGTCGTGTTCGTCTAACATAAAACATAAAAAGAATCAAAAAGGAAAAGATGGATTTGATGGGTAATCTTTGGACATTATAGTAAAAATGACACTAAAATTATACACATAATTATAGCATAATGCATGGTTATGTCGGCAAAGGTTGTCGTGTAATTATGATACCTTATCCCCTCACTCTTTTATATGTTTTTTCAGCTGAGCCGCTACGAACCAAGAATTATGTATGGATGATCCATTAATGTGAATATTCGATTGCTTTACAATAATCATACCCTCTCTCTCTCTCTCATAATTATGTTAATTATGAATTATCCATGTAATTATGATTACTATTATTTCCACATAACATGCCTAACATAAACAAATATATATTACGTTTGTCACATTTGTCCTAGTTGACTTTTAGGGTATGGAAGGATAAAGTTTATTACTTCAACCGAAATGTTACTTAGTGGGGCCAACTTAACGTCACTACCTCATATGAGTTATATTAAAGTCGTGAGATCCCGCATCGGTTGGAGTGGGGAACGAAACATTCCTTTCTCTCCTTAGTAAACGATTTTTTAAAACTATGAAGCTGATGGTGATACGTAACGAGCTAAAACGGACAACATCTGCTAGCAGTGGACTTAAGCTGTTACAAATGGTATTAGAGTCAAACATATGGTAGTGTGCTAGTAAGGACACTGGCCCCTAAGGGAGGTGGATTATGAGATCTCACATCGGTTGAAGAAATTAACGGAACATTTCTTATTAAGATATAAAAACCTCTTCATAATAGACGTAATTTAAATTATTGAGAAGAACAAGAAACTTTAAGCATGAACCTCTTTTATGGACTTTGTTTGAATGATCAATAATGGATAAAGAAAGGTGATATAATGTTATGGCATTTGGTGTCCAATGCTCGAGTTTGTCGCTTCCGGGGAATAGATGGTGCACGCACGCCATGTTCACATCAGACAGATGTTTGCATAATGCCTAATTGAACATGACTCCCTATTCCCTTTCTTGTTCATTTACTTACTCTCCCTAAACAGTAAAATAGAGTAACGATCCAGGCCCAACATTATAAATAGATATTAAATCTTGTATTTGCATGGGCGCTCATGATTCAGCACCTAATGATCTATGTATTCTCTGCGACATGATCACGCTAGTTACTCATTGTTTCTAAGAGTGAATGATATCCTCACAATCCAACACGAGTCCTTCCAAAGCACAAGAGATCACTAAATATGGAGTTCTAATGGTTGAGCCACGGAAAAGGAAGCTGAATTTTGTTGATATAGTTAGTAATTTTCATTCCGTCTTTCTTAACCATTCTATTATTAAGATCCTTCATCATCTCTCAAAAAGTTTCATTATACTCTTCAACTTTTAAAAAAAAGTTCATAAATATTATAACATTGGTAATACGTTTATAAGATACTCATTAAATTTTAAAAGTTGCATTAATACTTTTTTAACCCTTATAAAAAGAAGTTAATAAGTTATTACTATTAATATACAGACGAAAACCATCTATCTACCCTTCATAAATATTCTCTAAACTTTTTAACATTATTTTTGAAAGTTTATGAGTATTTTTGTGAGATCACACATCATTGAAGAGGAGAACGAAACATTTTTTAAAAGAGTGTGGAAATTTCTCTCTAACAGACGTGTTTTAAAACCGTGAGGCTGATGTCGATACATAATAAGCCAAAATAGACAATATTTATTAGTGGTGAACTTGGGATGTTACATATTTTTTAAGCTTTTGAAAATTAGAATGTATTTTTGAGATAAAATACAGAATAAAGACGTGTTTTTTTAATTTAACCTAAAATAAATACTAACATTGTGGGAAGTTTACAATATGTTTTTCCCCTTTTTCACAAATTGGGGGTTAAATTACATTTTCCCTCAATGGTTATTTAATAACAGTAATAATAAATAACAGTAATAAAATAATAAGAAGAAAAAAGTGTAGTAGTCTGTCACGTCATATGATTATAATTTTATAATAAATGTATATAATTATCATATTATCATCTTCAAATTCATTAAAAGAAAAAAAAAAAAAACATTATGGGATATTCCAAAAGAGTAACAAATTTCATTAGCGTCAAAAACATATGTTTTAAATTAAGAGACAGTAATTAACATTTAATAATATCCTTTTAATTTTTTTTTAAAAAGTTAATAAACGATTTTTGGTTGATATTTTTAAAATTTATGAATATTTTTAAATATTTGAACTTTTGAATAGTGAACTATTATAAATAGAGATATCCGAGGAAGGTAGGGATAGGGAAAGCTTCCCTATTCCCATCACCGTCTCCTATTTCAATTCTTATTCATGCAAAATTTTTCATTTATTTTCATTGGAATCGAAGTGGAGATCCTTCGGGATGAATTTGCATAGATCAAGTTCCTCGAAGATCTTTTCCCAATTTTCAACCTAATTTATGTTAAAAAAATGTAAATCCCGAATCCAATAAATATTTCAATTTCAATGTTAGAACATGGTCTTCAATACTTATATGTAAGCATATATGTATGTATGCGCGTATGTATGTATATATATATATATATATAAAGTAAGGCAAGATATGGATGAGAAATATAGTCTCTGCAATGGCCCAAGCCCACCGCTAGCAGACATTGTCTTCTTTTGCAGCGAATGGGGATGGAAAGCGATCATCGATGGCTGCTCCGCCCAGGCTCACGTCAAAGGTTTTGCAGTGACCATTGTGCCCTCCTACTCATTTGGCCCTAGCACTTGCCTTGACGGCCGGGTAAAGATCATGCGCTTTAGTGTCATCCATTTTCTAGGCTTGTTGATTCCGTAGGTGAGTTGAGAACGAAAAAAAAAAAGCTTTATAAAGGTGTGGGAACCTATCCACAGTAGTCGCGTTTTAAACACCTTTAGGGAAAATTTGAAAGGAAAACACAAAACAACAATATCTGGTAGCAGTGGGTTTGGGATATTACAGTCTTGTCCTTAGCCTCATTTAACTCAGAGAGAGAAAGTCCTTTTTACTTTATCCCTCATTCCCCAATTAAACTAGAAGTTCTTATTGAACCCTGATATATCTATAACTACAAATGTGAGATTCCACATTGGTTGGAGAAAGGAACAAAACATTCATGGTAAGGGTGCGGAAAACCTCTTCCTAGCAAATGTGTTTTAAACCGTGAGGTTGACAATGATACGTAACGGGTCAAAGTAAACAATATCTACTAGCGGTGGACTTGTATTGTTACAAATTGTATCAGAGGCTGAGCGAGGACACTAGATTCCAGAAAGATGGATTACGAAATCTCATGTCGATTGAAGAAGGGAACAAGTCCTTTTTTACCCGAGGAACGAAACATTCATTATAAAAGTGTGGAAACACTTCTTTTTAAAATCGTAAGACTGACGGCAATAAGTAATGGATTGTTACAACAAATACAAATACAGAAACCGGTCTCGAAATGGGATTGGACCTTGTAGTAGTAGTAATAGGGGTAGAGAGAGGGAGAGAGATTTTGTATAAAAATACAAAGTAGGTTGAGTGTGATTAGGTTTTGATGCATACACTTCCCGGCTTTCTCGCCCAAATCTGATTCCCATTCCTCTGTTTATTCTTCTCCTATTCCCTCTTTTTGTCCAAACTCTGGTCAAAATTTAACCCCAACCCAACCCCCACCCCATACCCTCCTTTTTATAACATCTTCCCCACTTCAACCCCTCATAATCCCACCTCCATTCATTTCCTCTCTGTTGCTCTCTGTTTCTCTCTGTTTCTCTCTACCTCCATGGATACCCAGCGCACCCCTGTTCTAACTTCCCCTTATTTCTTGCAATTCAAGGTCAGATTCCGCTGCTGTTCTTCATTTCTTCCTCGTTTATTTGGTGGGTATTCGCCAGATTTTTGAAATCAGGCTCTGATTTTGAGATTTTGTTTTTGGCAGAACATTGATGAGCTCCGGCATTCGCTTCTCTGCACAACTCTGGAGCTGGAACAGACCAGAATCGCAGCTCAGGAGGAGCTGAAGAACAGAGATGATCAAGTTTTATACCTCAAGAATCTGTTGAATCAAGCCATTAGAGACAGAGATGAAGCCATTGATAAATCCAATAAGCTTCTTCTCCAAAATCTCTTCTTCCATCCTCCTCCGACGGCAATTGACGACGACCCCACAACCAGAGGATCCGATTCCGACGAGAGTATCGTTTCCGTTTCATCTCCCGTTCCTCCGCCGTTGGAAATCACCAATTGGCTCCCCGAAAAGCCATTGCCGGAAAAGGGTAAGCTCTTACAAGCCGTCATGAAGGCTGGTCCTCTTCTCCAGACGCTCCTCCTCGCCGGACCACTTCCTCAGTGGAGACATCCGCCGCCGCCCCTTGAATCTCTCCACTTACCACCGATTCCAATCCCACTCCCTACACCGCCGCCGCCGTCGCTTGCCACTAATTGTGGGAGTATCAACAAAAAGAGGGCTATTTCTCTGTGCGAGGAATCGGATTCCCCACCAGCAACCAAATTCCAGAGGCTCGTTTTCCACTGACTTTCAAAAACCCAATTAAATTTATCCCCACTAATACATAATTTTATATAAATTGCACCAAGAACTTGGAATTACAAAAAAAAAAAAAAAAACAACAAAAAAAGGGTTTTGGGACTGATCTAGCATCTGTATAGCTGCTTGTTAGCTTAGAGTAACTCAAGAAAGTTGTAAGGCTTCATGTTCACGTGGATCTGGGAATAGTTCTACTAGTTTAATATTAGTATACAGCAAAGAGGTTCGAATTTGGTACTTCATTTTCGAGTCGATTTGAAAATTGTTCGACTAGTTTGATACTATCATTTGGGGACGAGGTTCGAATTTCTAGGATTGTAATAGTAAGTGATAGTTTATTAGTGTGTGAGTTTTAAGGGAGATTGAGGGTGTGGAGAGTGGTTAGCATAGGGTCCTACGAATCAGAATGAGGATATTTGCTGGTGTGTGATTTTGTATGGATTTTTATATCAAAAGATTTAGAAGAAGATTGATTATATTAATTTAATCTCTTTTTTTTTTTTTTTTGTCTCTTTTATTCTTTTTAATTAATTCACCAATTACTTTAATTCTAGCTTTGATTATTTTAAAAATATAAGAGAGTGTTTTTTTTTTTTTTTTTTGTCTCTTTTATTCTTTTTAATTAATTCACCAATTACTTTAATTCTAGCTTTGATTATTTTAAAAATATAAGAGAGTGTTTTTTTTTTTTTTTTTTGTCTCTTTTATTCTTTTTAATTAATTCACCAATTACTTTAATTCTAGCTTTGATTATTTTAAAAATATAAGAGAGTGTTTTTTTTTTTTTTTTTTTTTTTTGTAATTATGTTAGAATTTAGGAAGTTCCGATTTAGAAAATGTCCATACGAGCTCTCAAAGTAAGTTTAGGTTCGAAAATTCTAGGAGTATTCTTATTGTTCGATAATTCGAACAAGCTAGACTACTCAACCCAAGCTATGCTGGTTAAATTTTTGGAAAATCGAAAAATTTGATTCAGTTTGTGGTTGAAATTTGTCGAGTCAACTTGACTAACTCGAAAATAAGGTTATAACTTAGTCCTACCATTTTTTTTTAAGTAGAATAGTTAACAGTTTGTGGTTGACTCGATCCTAAAATAGGGTTACAATTCAACTCAACCCTACCCTGCTTTTTAAAAAATTAAGAATATTTAAAATTTGTAACCGAGGTTAGTGATGTATTTTAACTTTATGAGAATATGATTATCAACTCTATTCGGATTATTAAGGTCACCAACTCAACCAACCCATAATTTCGAGTGGGATAAAAATAAATTGAATCAAACTCAACTCAACTTGTGTACACCCTCAGCAAACTCTGTCTCTGAACATGTAAGAGTCAACAGATGGTGAAGGAAAAGGTTGAGTTCATGAATTTTTAATTTTGTGTTTAATAAACTTTTGACTTATTTGATTTTTTTATAATAAAAAAAAAATAAAAAACCTAAACTTATCGGTCACAAAATTCAAAGTTACAGTACTATTAGATATCGAATTCCATTTTATTTAATAGATTACTTAATTTAAAATTTTTCAAATATAATTATTTTTAAAATTTAATAACTTAAGATACCGGAATGAAATTTTGGAAAAAATTTAAGGCAAACTTAAAAGATCGAGAACTAACATTGTAAGCAAAAGACACCGAAAGGGAGACAAAGTCTTAACTAAATGATTTATTGGTACAAATGAAGCTAAGATTGTTAGTTATTTATAGGAAATTAAAGATGATAGAAGACTTGAAGGCCCCCTTCCGGGGGGCCCGAGCCATCACCTAGCAACCATATGCTTCGACCCGCATTGAACGCCGGGCCGCTTGGAGCATAAACCTAAAAGAATTGAAGAAGACCATTCGGAAATACATAATATTCTATTGAAAAGGAATCCTAATAATTTATTGGGTACTCTGTCTCTTTCTCTTTCTCTTTCTCTACTATTACAATGCTCTTGAGGTCTAGTGCATGAGTTATATTTAACTTATGAAATCATCCCACGATAGAGTCCTCTCTCATTGAAGAAGGAGATGATGGGCTAAATGGGGCACTCGATTCGGACCGAACCTTTTTTTTGTCAGGCTACTGTTCTCTTCAATTCTTCCAATATTGGACCTTATCTAATAGTTCCGAATCGAATCCCTTTAGAAAGAAGATCTTTTGTCTCATCATAAATCGAGTCAATGCAGAGGAAATGAATGCTCACTCTTTGAGAGCAGGTTAGAAGCGAGGAAATCAAGCATGGGAGAGGGACTCGAAGACGTTTAACATCATTGCAAATAGTTGATAATAATTTATCGTGTATTGCTTGAATAACTTCTTTATTTCAAGAAATGATTGAATACTACTAATGTAATGAAATTTCAATTATGAATGAAAGTCAAGACATTTAATGTGTTACTATATTTTCTCGATGTTTATTTAGTTAAAATAATATCATTCTTAAAATATAACGAAAAATAAATGCTATTATAATGATTATAAATGAATAAACGAGCTATAAATAATATATTATAGCATTAAAAAAATGTTATTATAAGTTAATGATAACCCAATATTTTAGTTATATTAAATATATTATAGCTTTAATAAAACGCTATAATATGTTTTCATAGCAACATATATAAGCTATAATTTAAATTCTATTATAGCATTTATTATAGCTATACAAAAACACTATAAAAAGTTTCGGACTTTTAATAACAGTGGCTGTCACGACGTACGAAAAACGCTATAAAAAGTCTACAATAGCATTTTTCGTAAGCTATCGTATCAATTATTCTTGTAGTGGGGTCTTCTATGCACATACCCTATTCTACTAATTTCAATTATTTGGGAGCGTTTAAAATTCTAATTTTGATGGTGGAACTAGATAGAATTAAATTTCAACCCCGATAAACCAAATAGAGACCTTGAGCGTATTCACAGTAAAAGTTTTCTCATTCACGGAGCCTTTCGTATTCCCTCGTCGCTGCTGAACTTCGAGAGTCGGAGTAAACTAAACTGTGATCGTGAGCGTGCACCTGTCCGACCAGCTAAGCTCATGGGGTACAAATACGAGCCCGCCTAGGATCTTGCGTTGTCACAGCCATAAGAGAAGGCTCATCAGAGAATGTGGTGAGCGAGGGGGTGTGCTTTGACTATTGTCGCACTACTCGGAGGAAGCGTAGAGAAGAATCGAAGGAAAGAGAGAGAAATTGGAAAAAACCAGCAAGTGGTCCATAAGAAGAAGCCCACGCGTCAGCCTTGGACTCGGATTCGAATGTGGGTAGGTCCAGTACCCATGAGGCGCAGCCTACTTGCCACAAATCACGCACCCAAATTGTTAGTGACTTCACTCAATTTTGAAACCCACATGTGCTCTTGACCTGCATACCCGACTCGACCCGATGATGTGACCCACACCTCTACTTGACTTAGCTAGTCGTATTTGGTTAGACAATTTGTGTAATGTATGATGATGCGAGTTTTGTGGCACCTACACACGTCATGATTATGACTGTTAGCATGTGCTATGTGATGTAATGCTATATCATGCTATCTCATGTTATAAATTATGTTATGTTGTGTCATGAAAGATAATGACAATTACTATGTACGTATGTTTCATAGGCTCGTTATGTCATGAATCAGTGGAAGTTTGACTTGTATCGTAAACTTATGTTATGATTTTAAGATATGAGAACCTCATGCATTTATGTATATCATGTGCATCAAGATACTTTCCCATTATGATTAGTACGGACGCGTACCTTACGATATCTATGTCCGCCATGATATTATGCGAGGTATTTCCTTCCCTGATGAGTATTCGCTAGCTTGACAAGGCAAGCCCATAAGGTACATATACGAGTCCAGTAGTAGGTCCATAGTACTACACATCTAATCGTGCCCATACTGGAAAGTGGAGCTCAAGACCATGCCATGATCTTTATATGAAAGGATAGATCCCACCATGTTGCATGTGATTGCATTTTTCAATCTAAAAGAGAGAGTATCGAGTATTCCTTAAAATACTAAAGTCACATGCTATTATTATTATTCCTTAAAATACGAGATCAAGGTGAAGGCCATAGGACCAAAATTAGAACATATGTATTCACGTTTGTCTTTGTTCTATTTTTATTTAAACTCACGTTATTTATTTTTCGCTATGCTCTTCATAAAAATATCGTTATAATGAATTTATCATGTACATTTAAGTCCATGACATTGTTTTTAAAATGTTTTCACATATTTGCAAAATCATATATAATTTTGCTATATTTGCAAATTCTTAAAAAAAGAAAAGCCCAAACCGGAAAACCTTATGTGGCTCAGATTTAAAAACCGAACCGATCGGTTCTATGATTGGTTGGATATTGGTTTGGTTCAATGTTCGGAAAAGAAGAAATTTCTACATTTTATATAGCAGCCTTCCCCATCCTATGCTCTCTCACTCTCTCGCTCACAGTTGACTGCGCGACCTCTCTCCGGGTAATCTTCCTCGCATATTTCAAAAGTTTTTATCTCTTTGATCTATACCCTAGGGTTCTTCAAACCTTCGTTTTTTTTTTTTATTGTTGTCAAATTTCATATGAATTGACCGTGTAAATGTAGGAATTGCGTGATCTGTGGTATTGATAGGATCATATATTGATGTTTCTTCACTACTGCGCTTTTGCAGCAATGGCCAGAAACCTAGTTCCATTTCTGGTGCTACTTTTTTGGATTTCGATCTGCCAAGCTGCTGGCATTTTTCAGCCGATCTCAGATTCACATCGATATGCGGCTCTGGAGCTCTTCCGGCCTACTGATGGAGTATTCGGAAGGTACTAGGAAATTTTGTGTTTATTATTTTTTTTTTTTTCTCTTTGAGTTCGGTAGATTTCGCGCAAAAGACGTGGCCGTCAAGTTCTTCGACATGGCCTCTTTGGAAAAATGGTTCTAATCTCCCCTCTTTGCTTTCTTGTGATTTCTATCGTGTGAGAGCAGTAAAATTCTGTTTCGGATCTGAAAGTTGTTTTTTCTTTTTAATATAAATTCGACCATCAATATTTTTTTTACATCAACAAGCTACTTTTCCATTACGACCTCTGTATTTTTAACCAAATTGCCTTTTATTAATGCATTGCAAAGGAGGTTTCATTTGTGATGCAATTAACAAGCTCTAAAGGAAACCTCTTAAGGTCTTAATGTATGGATTCTGACAAACTTTTCAAGCACAAGGTGTTGAGTACGATATTCGAAATAGTTTCAAGAACATGATAGAATCTGAATAAAGTGGCATCTTATTCTCTAAAAATTCATGATGCATGCACGATAGGCACCCGTCAATTAAATCATATAAGTTTTTATACTCATATATTTGAACGTATTTGCACTGTATATCGATTTTTTGTTACAACTCTGGGAGTTTTATTGCTTCAAACTCGAACACGGCATGCTGAATTTTATTCTAATAGAAAGAGGCCTCCTTCAGCCTTGATTTGGAAATCTTGGGAAGAG